AGACAGCTGATATCATTCCATCAGGTCCCAGTCAGGCTGAGACGCCCCCCGAGAGAGCTTTACAGATATCATTCCATCCGGCCTCAGTTTTCCGAGGCACTCTCTCAACTAATGGGTCAGAGGCTAATGCAGGGGGGGTGGTCTAAGAATCGGCTGTAAGGCGACAGGCTATAATTCGGTCATTCCCACAATATCCCCTCCCTCTCCCCCCTCCCCCCAACTCGGGGTTGATAATTGCCAGAATGACTCATAGAACTCAGGAAGGCACTTTACTTATCATTACCAGTTTATTATAAAGGAAAAAAGCCAAATGGAAAAGATCCTTAAGGCACTGTGCTCTCCAGGTGTGCCTTCCTCCCAGCACCTTGATGTGGTCACCAACCCGGAAGCTCTCCCAACCTGGTTGTTTAGGGATTTATTTATTTATTTATTTTTAAGATTTTTATTGGGGAATTGGGGGGAGGGGAACAGCATTGGGGAATCAGGGAAGGGGAACAGACAGGTAGACAAATTGCTGTTTTTGTTCTTCAGTCTAGTTGTGGAGGACGTCACTTCACCTGGCCCATATTGGTACGATCATTGTGCTCTTCCCGGGTGAGGCAATCGGTCGCTGGTCATTGGTCGGCTGCTCACAGTGGCTCCCAGCAGCTCACACCGGCTGACAGCTGCTCACGCTGGCTGCCAGTCACTCACATAGCTCACGGCAACCCACTGCAGCCCCGCTGCAGCCTACGCCGTCGCCAGCGACTCACAGCAGCCCAGCTCCAGGTCGAGCTGTTGTTCATCATCTTAGCTGTAGAGGGCGAGCGTCACTGGCCCTTAATGTGGGATCCGAACCACAGCCCTGCTGCTCAGAGCTGGTGCTCCCAAGCGAGCTCTTAGCCAGCTGAGCCACGCGGCCGGCCCTGTTTAAGAATTTTTATGGAAGCTTCATTATAGAGGCAAGATTGCTTCAATTCTTTTTTTTTTTTTTAAAGATTTTTTATTGGGGAATTGGGGGATGGGAACAGCGCAGTGGAATTGGGGGAAGGGGAACAGACAAGTTGGTGTTGTTTTGTTCTTCAACTAGTTGTGGAGGATGTTGCTTCACTGGCCAAAGTTGGCACCATCATTGCGCTCTTCCCAGGCAAGGCAGATCAGTCGTCGGCTTCTGGACGGCTGCTCACTGTGGCTGCTGGCTGCTCACGCAGGCTGCTGGCTACACATGGCAACCCATGGCAACCCACTGCAGCAGGGGCTGCAACCTACGCCGTCACCGGCCACCCACGGCAGCCCAGCTCCAAATTGAGCTGTTGTTCAGCATCTTAGCTGTAGAGGCAGTGTTACTGGCCCTCACATGTGGGATCCGAACCGGGGCCCTCTGGCATCCCAAGCCAGCTCTTAACCAATGTGCCACTCGGCCGGCCCGATTGCTTCAATTCTTGATCTGCACCTTCAGTCTCCTCCTGCCCCATGATGGTGGGAGAGCGTTGGAGCTGAAGGTTCCAGTCCTCTGATCATGCTTGATCTTTCTGACCCACAGCCCACAAGCTGAAGCGGTCTAGGGGTCCCCAGCCACCAGTCATCTCACTCTTACACAGAAGACACTCATCACTCTGAGCTGGAACTTAGACCAAATGCTATGACAAAAGATGCTCCTAAGAAAACAAACAAAAAGATGCCTTTCACTTAGGAAATTACAGGGACTTAGGAGCTCTGTGCCCGGAACTGGGGATAAAGACCAAATATATATCCCAATGCACATGTGCCCTCACCTGAGAGAAAAGCCTCCAATGTGTGAAAACTGTCTAGTCCCTTAAATGTAACACTCTCCCATCTTGATAGACCCCAACTAAAGTCTTCTTTCGTTTCCCATGAGCAGGATATCAAGTCAGCAAACCAGACGCACTCTCCAAGTTGGAACAAGGGGAAGAACCGTGGACATTAGAGGATGAAATCCACAGTCCAGTCTGTCCAGGTGAGTGGGAGAACCAGCAAGGCTGGTGCAGGGGAGGAAAAATGATTTTCCTTTTACCCTTCTAAGTTCTCCTGGCTGGGATAATAACCAAATTGACATGACACAGGTTAGCAGGAGGAAATAATCAAAATCATTACATATGTCCATACAAAGGGGTCCATAAGAATATGGGACTGAAGGACAGATTGGGCAGTTGAGGCTTACAAGCCATTTTGAGCTAAGGAGAAGTAGGGCTTGTGGTTTGGGATTTCAAAGGAGAAGAAGGCAATTCCCATAGAGATGGAAAAGCAATGTCTGCTAAATAAGTGTTCACTGGGCCATCTGTAACAAGGGGACACAGAGAGGACATGGATCCAAAGGGCCCTGCTAGGCTCCTCCCTATCGATCACACCTAGCTCATATTCAACCATAGTTACCCATGATGACAGCTCTCTTCCTGGAACAAGTCCTTTGTCTAAATTCTTATAGGCAGCAAAGGGGAAAGTCAAAGGTTTTTTCTGAGCCTTTAATTTCTGAAAAATAACCAGCGTAAAGTAACAATACCCCAAAAGGCATATTTTGGGGTGGTAAACTCTGCTCCCCCTCATGCATAACTGCAGAAGTCATATTCTAGTCAGAGAAGGCTGGGTGGTGTTTGAGGGTACAGAAACAGTGCCTCCATCTCTCCCCATAGCAGACTTTCTTTTAGGTGTTTAGAGGGACGTGTACCCCTTTTTCCTCTTCTGTGATCTGATCCTTGTTTATCTGACATCTTGATTTTTGTTTGTTTGCCTAGTTTTCTTCCTTGGCTTCTATAAGCTACCCCATCTTTGCACCCTGTCACAGTGTCTCTCCCTGTTCCTTCCTCCTCCCTGGCTATGAAATTTCACCTTCCAGGCCTCACTTCAAAGAGAGATCTTTGAATTCATCAGTCTCCTGACTATTGCACTCTTCTGCCCCAATGGGAAATAGTGAGTTCTCTTCCTAACCTCCCACCCTACCTTGTATGTTGTGCCCTCCCAATAACCTCATCTCTTCCTGTGCATTAATCTGCTTCCTTAGTTTCTTTTTTCCCCCACTCTGAGGTTCTTCAGTGGTTTTATTTTCCATTTTTTTCTGCTGTATTTCTAATCCTTAACATTTTCCTTCAGTCTCATGAATTAAGTTCTTGTCTGGATGGGACTCCAAATTGATATCTCCGTTAATATTGTCGAACGTACATTTTTAGTTCTAAATATTACTAGCCTGAGATTTCCGAGCTCCTACACGAGCAACAGGAATCATCTTCCCCCATAACAACCCTTCCCACCACCCTTTTTCCTTTTTTAATATTAGATTCTCCTTTAGTACAGTACATTTTTCTGTCCTGTCCACGCTGGTGTTATCGTGAATGTTCTCTACTTAGGAGGTTCTTACCTTGAAGGTCTCTGCCGTTTCTGTTGACAGTTTAACTAGAAAAGGCTGTTGTACATCCTACATCAGTTCTAGCCCAAATCATAGCTTGTGTCTGCCTCAATGTACTTCTTTCATACCTTCAATATTTCTGATTTTCTTTTGGTTCATCTTAGGTATTAGCATTGTATTCATTTTCCTAGTCATTTGTTTTTCTCATTATATTCTTGTTTCTTTTTTAACACCTTTATTAACATAATTCACATATTCTACAATTTCCCAACTTAAACAATTCAGCACTTTGTAGACTATTAACAGAGTTATGTAACCATCACCACAATCAATTTTGGAAGATTTTTATCACTTAAAAAAAAACTCACTTTCTCCTAAGCCCCAGGCTAGGCAACCACTAACCTACTTTTTGTCTCTATAGATTTGCCTGTCCTGGATGTTTCATATATATAGAATCATAAAATATGTGGTCATTTGTGCCTGGCTTCTTTCATTTAGCATGTTTTAAAAGTTCTCCCATGTTTTAGTATGGATCAGCACTTCATTCCTTTTTATTGCCAATTCAGAGTCCAGTGTATAGATCTACCACATTTTATTTACACATTCATACAATTCATCATACCATTGATGGTCATTTGGGTTGTCTCCACTTTTTGGCTTTTGTGCTGCTATGAACATTTATGTACAACTTTTTTGTGAACATACAGAGGGTGCCAAACAAATGTTTACACATTTTAAGAAAGGAAAAAGTGTATTAAAATTATAATACAATGAATGATGCTAGCATTCATTTGATTAACACCATCTTTTGAGCAAATAGCATACTACACATTGCTACGTAATTCAGTTCAACTTCAAAAAGTAATACGTAGATAACATCTCTTAAAATGTGTACATTTTTTTGGCACCCCCAGTATGCTTTCATTTTTTCTGGATATATACCTAGAAGTGAAATCTTTAGGTCAGGTAGAATCTAGGAAGGGTCCAAATGTGGTGCTTCTGGACTCATGGACAGAATTACCTCCTCCTGGCCATGATGTGTGACAATACACACAGGGTATTGCCAGCTAGGGAAGCTCACTTGAGCCTTTGTTGTCCAGAGTTTATATTGGGGCTCAGTTACATGTTGCCTGCATGGCTGACCTCTAGTCTCTCCAGAAGTTAGGCTAATACCTATAGTCCCCAGTTCTTCCAAAGGTCCTAACTCTATGGTTATCGAGCACGTATCAAAAATCACCTTGTCAGGGCTGGCCGAATGGCTCAGTTGGTTAAGAGTTGGCTTAAGAGTGCGAGCTCTGAGCAACAGGGCCGCCAGTTGGATTCCACATGGGCCAGTGATGCTGCGCCCGAGCTGAGCTGTCGCTGAGCTGCCAACAGGTAGCAGGATGACTCAGCTGGTGTAACAACAAGACTGCCTGTTCGATGGTGGGCTATGCCCACCTGCAACTAAGACTGAACTTGGCACCTTGAGCTGAGCTGCCACCCAGATAGCTCAGTGGATAGAGCGTGCACTCTTAACAACAAGGCTGCTGGTTTGACTCCCACATGGGATGGTGGCTACGCCCACCTGCAACTAAGATTGAACACAGCACCTTGAGCTTAGAGACCATGAGCTGCCAACGGGAAGCCAGATGGCAACTGGCACCCTCCACAATGAAGATTGAAGAACAACTTGGTTGGTCTCCTTTCCCAATTCCCCAACACTATTACCCTCCTCCCAACTCCCCAATAAAAATCTTAAAAAAAAAATCACCTTGTCAGACTATCCAGTGGCCAAAGCCACCAGGCAAACAAAGACAGTCCCATCAGTCAGGACATTCCAGGGGCCAAGAGATCACCTCCTAGTAGCCTCTCTTTGGATGAAGTTAAATCTTCACTCAAAGTAACTATAAAAATGAGCAATAGGGCCGGCCAAGTGGCGCGTTAGTTAAGAGCTGGCTTGGGACACCAGAGGGCCC